CCTGACAGGCTTTGGGAGCTCTCCCCGCCCCTCCCCGTGCCCCTGCCCTCCTCCATCTGGCTCTTCTGAGTTTTATCCTTTGGAATCAGTCACTATGTGAGGATGCTCTTCCTCGGTGCTGCGAGCTGTCCAGCCGGTCGGTCAGCGTGTGGAGGGCCTGCAGCAGGCTGGGATAGCTCCTCCTGGGTCTGAGCCATGCCGCTGTCACAACCCATCGTGTGGGGCAGCTTTCTGTCACTGACCAAGACACCGGCAAGGTCAACTCAGAGGAGGAAAAGTTTGCCTGGGCTCATGGTGTCAGTCCACGGTCAGCTGCCTCCACGGCTCTGGGCCTGAGGTGAGGCACATTCTCCCCATCGTGAGGGAAGGGCCTGGCAGGGGACAGCTGCTTCCTTCACCGCAGCTGGGAAGCAGAAGGAGGGAAAGGGAGAGAGAGAGAGGGACGTCGGGGACAAACTACAGTCAGAGGGCACACCCCAAGTGACCTGATTCCTGCAGCCACACTCACCTTTCTACAGCTATCACCCAGCTGGTCCTTTCAAATTGGTCATCCATCCAATGTATTAGTCCCCCCCCATGAGCTTACAGCCCTCATCATCTCATCATCTCACCTCTGTACTAACACAGGGCTTTTGGAGGACGTTCAAGGTCAATCCACGACCCATCAGGCAGCTGGCCTGTGTTTGGGGGTCCCTCCTGGTCTGCAGGCTCCCAGCTGTGTGCGGGAAGGGCAGCCCAGGGCACTCTCTGCCCTCCCTTCCTGCAGATGCCCGCCCAGTGGACCTCTGTCCTTATCTGGGAAGAGCGAGGTGCTCGGGGCGGGGACGTGGTTAGCTCCCAGCTGTTTCCAGAGGGAGGTTGAATTCAGCCTCCGTGTCTCGGGGCCATTCTGAAGCAGATCAAGTCATCCTATAATTTCATGCATAAATGTTTCAGTGCGCATCTCCAGAGGGTATGGAGTCCTTTTTAGCATTTAGCACAGCGTGAACCAATTACTAACCCTAAGGCAAACAAAAAGTTT